TATAATGAATTTCAAGATGGCAACAGCAGAGCATTAAACCAAGCACAGGACTCTTCCCAGCATGCATGCCCATGAAACCTGCAGGTCCTGTCTATATGAAGCACTTCTGATTTCTTTCTCATCTGTTGGTGTTAAGAATAAAGAATATGCCAGGGACATCTAGATCCATGTCTCTATTGCCACCCCTAAATTCTGCTTAAAACAAGCAAGCCGTGATATTTATATATCACAATTGGCCACAACAAAAGGTTTTCCAGCCAACCATATACAAAATTACTTTAGTGGTGCAGTTACACTTCAAAATTAAAATTACAAAATTACATTAGTTGTACAAAAATACATGTTCACTTTAAGGTAAAAGTATACAAAAATGCATGTTCACTTTAAGGTAAAAAGTGAAATACATGTGCTCACCTTAAACACCGAAAGATATAATGTCATCACCAAAAGGAACCAGATAGAATCCAAGCCCACTGGGGTTATATTTGGGGAAACTGAGTCTTAATGAGGCTAATTGCCTGCCTAGAGCAACACAACCAGCTAGTGCTGAATAAAGAATAGAACCTCTGGCTCCTGGAATCCAGTTTAAATTTGCCTCTTTTATGTGGCACCTCCTCCCTTCCCTTTCATTTCAGAAGCACTGCAGTGGTTAACCAATTCCCCCCACCCCCATTCATGAACATCCACAACCAAAGTAAGAATACCAGAAAATAAAAAGAAATTCAGTATTAAAAAACTTCAGGGCTTGAAGGGAAGAAGCTTCTATCTACATTAAAACAAATTTTCTTTTTAATTACAAAATCCATCCGCAATAATTCAAACTGGATAAATTAAAAGGTGATATTCTACCCATTTGTCCAATCTTACTCCCCCAAATTATCACTTCTATCATTTGGGGGAATATCCATTCAGTTATTTTTTTATCCTGGAACTCAAATCACAGTTCAGGTCATTTAGGTCAAGCCTTATTTTAAATATACCATCCACTGGAATTACATAACTGTGGAATCTTTAAAAATGTTTTATTATAAGCAGAAACTGAACCTAAACACTGAAAATAGGTGAATTTTCTCAGAGGACTGGCCATTTTAGAAGTAGTGAAATAGTCATTCAATTCTCTGTATATGGAAAATAGAAAATCAATGTGCAACAATCCACTTACACTGGAATTTCCTTTGTATTTTGTTTATGTTGATTTGGCCAAATTTCCTTTTCCTTACATTTAATTCTGCTGCCAGTGTTAACTCATTAAGTATTTGGGTGAAAGGATGGTATCACACAGGGACAGCATTTCCATGAAATGTCCATATTTCTGAATTAGTGATGAGCTACTCTGTAGTACTTCTTTTCCACTTCTCTCAGACTAATACACATTTTGTTCATTCACTTTTCAATGTGGAAAAAAATTTTTTCCAGAAATCTTTTGGAAGTAGTCCAGGCTTCAGCATACACTACCCATTTTCTACTTTAAAGACCTAAACATATAACAGCTCAGGGGGAAAATGTTATATGCATTGCTTATTTACATGAAAAAAGCTACATAAATTACATCACTACTTTATCTTTGTGGTATTGCAAATAAAGATCATTAAGACTATTAATGGCTGGGCGCCTGGGTGACTCAGTTGGTTAAGTGACTGCCTTCGGCTCAGGTCATGATCCTGGAGTGCCGGGATCGAGTCCCACATCGGGCTCCCTGCTCGGCAGGGAGTCTGCTTCTCCCTCTGACCCTCTCATTCTCTCTCTCAAATAAATAAATAAAATCTTAAAAAAAAAAAAAAAGACTATTAATGGCTGATTTTCTTGGGGCACAGGAATTGCTTGATGGTATCTAACATACACAGTGCTCTACAAATAATCTTTAAATTTTAATGTTACTGCTACTATTGAGCTGTAGATTGAATGAAGAAAAATTTGTTTTTCCAATACAATTAAAATCCCCATGAATAACACCGTTAGAAATTCCTAATAGATTGTGAACTCTTTGCTATTCAATTTGATTGTTCAAATTCGCAAATTCCCAAGCCAAGCTAAGGTAAATCTCGATTCCAATTATGCATAAAAAAATCTCTTAGCATGCCAAATCAGCTAACCAGTTAACTCTGGCAGCCAGGACAACAGCCTGCTGTCTAGGAGTTGGCTGACTCCGTCTACTGCAACACCAAAGCTCGTTATGCCAATAAGCCCTCAGGAGCTCCAAGACTCACAGAGCTGTTTGCCACCACCTCTCCACCTGTCTTACACCCACCTTTCCGCCCCGCCCCTTACCTTGGCCTCGCCTCCTGCGCTCAGGCGCGTTTTCCACGCCCCCTGCGTTCAGCCAATAGTTGGTGACGTTTGTGGGAGCGGGCCTTCCCTCCCAGCCAATGCAGGAGATCCTTGCTGTCCTAGTCCCTCCCCTGCCAGGAGCGCCTGCCGGAAGATGGCGGCGGCCGCAGAGCTGACGCTGCTGGAGAAATCCCTGGGGCTGAGTAAAGGGAACAAATACAGCGCTCAGGGCGAGCGCCAGGTGAGAAGCGGGGCTGCGTGGAGGGGAAGAGGTGGACAGGAGCGGGCCCTGCTGAGCCCAGGTAAGATGGGCTTGCCGGCAGAGGCGGAGGATGCGGCTATTCTCCTCCCCCACGTGTCTGCGCCGCAGGGCGGGCTGCCTGGCGTCTCTCGGTCTCCTGCGGCCTTGGCTGCTGGAGGGTGGAGGGCAATCTGCCCCGTTCGGGCTTGCCCTGACCTTTTCTCCTGGGAAATTGTCATCCTGTTCTGGGAAAGCGAGGAGAGCTCTCAAAGAGCCCTTAGACCAATCTGGAGGCCCCGTATTTGCGTACAGTGACAGCACTTACTATAACACTACCTTTCATTCAGTGTCACGCAGCTACTCCAGAGAACTAACGGGGTGCCAAGTAGCACTGTGCTGGGACTGGGGAATGCAGGAGTGGTTGAGAAGGACACCCTCCTTTCTCCTTAGGAAGCTTGGTTTTAACAAGGTGGGCAAATATTGTTGCTATTTTAATTACAATAAGTGAAAAGTGCTATATTGAAGCCGAGATGGCTGAGAGAGCACATAAGTGGTCTTGGTCCAATCTGGAAGATTCAAGGAAGGTTCTTCTGAGTTGTTCAAGTTCAGTGTATGACGTGAAGAGAATGAAGGGGAAGATTAATACAGTATGAAATTGGTAAGATATAAGGACTCCGATTTCTCAGGGCGGTGAAGAACGTTTGTGTTTCGTAAATATCGTTGACGTCGATGGGGAATGCATTAGGAAAGGAGAATAATTGTAGGGAGACTACTTTGGATAGATAACATTTTTTTTGCCTCCTTGAGATTTTTTCCATGTGACGTTTATTTTTTGTCCTTACTTTTCTGTTTTTTGTTTGGTTTATGTTAAAAGCAGTCCTAGTGTAGTTCTTACACTTAAGTTCAGCTGAAGCATAGAAAGGTCTTGGGGCTTGTCCAAGATGAGCCCACTGACTGGAGACAAAGCCTCCTGCTTTTGCTTTTTCCTCTGGCCACATGCTAATTCCTTCCCTTCACCCACTGCTTCCTCGTTTGGTTTCTGTTTTTTTAGAGAACATTGCCAAGACATGAGTCTTGCCTTCAGGAAGCTTACCTAGTATAAGAAACAGTCATGGACAATTAATTTAAGGCAAGACAGAATATATGCTAAACGGAGGAGACATTGTTGAGGAATGTGGACGAGAAAGTTAATTTTGACTGTGAGAATGGATTTGTAAACTTCACAGAAAACCTGGTGTTTAAAGTGTGTAAGGCCAAAATTATGAAAGATTGGGAAGTTTGGGGCAAGAAGTAGACCAATATGAAAAGTGCTACAATGCAAAGTAAGCCCAAAATTATAGTTTGAGGGCAGTTGTGAGGGCTCTGGAGTTCATAGTGTGGTTTCTTACTTTAATTAAAGCTTTTTTTTTTTGGTCTTAGCAGAGGGCAGCTATTGAAAGTTTCTATTTATATGTTTGGGGAAAGGGATGGGAATAAATGAAAAAATTCGGTCTTTTTTTTTTGGTGGGGCAGGGAGACAACTGATAGCAGTAAGCCAGCAATGATGTGAAAATATTGGGGTTCGGGAGTAAACGGTCAAGAAAGAATTCTTGAAGCATCTTTGGTGCAAAAAGGGTGGTTTTATTAAAGCACAGGGACAGGACCTGGGGGCAGAAAGAGCTGCACTGGGGTTGTGAGGAGTGACTGATTATATACTTTCAAGTTGGCAGAGGGTTAAGGATAGCGTAAGTCTCTAAGGTATTTGGAAGCAAGGTTTCCAGGACCTTAAGGGGCTAGCTATTGTTAGGAAAAGATCATTTATTACTGTCTAGTAAAACCTTAGTCATGAGACCCTTCAGACCTATATCAGTGGGCCATATGCTTGGAGTATGAGTGCTAACATATATCTTGGGGGTAGAGATAAAGGAGGTTTCGAAGGGGATTTTTAAACATTAAAGGAGACTTACAGGATCCTGGAGGTCAGGCTAATGTTAAGCTAAGGTTGCCTTTTGCCTTTAGCAAAGTATTAACATCGATGGAGGCAGTTGAGTTCCTAGAGGAATGTCACTCTACCTGTCTTGACTTGTCATTGGGCAGTTAAGTTGTAAGGAAATTTAATTTTTTTCTTTTGCCTTTGTTCTCCACATCAAGCAATAAGGCCTTCTCTGCAACATTACCAATTATACAGTAGTCACCCGTCTGTGTACCTCCTCCCCATCCATAGTTTCGATATCTGCCGTTTCAGTTACCCATGGTTAGCCATATCCAGAAACAGATGATCCTCCTTCTGGCATAGTGTCAGAAGGTCAGCTGTAGCCTAGCACTATGTCACAACGCCTACATCATTCACCTCACTTCATCTGATTATATGGGCATTTTGAAATCTTGCATCATCACAAGAAGAAGGGTGAGTACAGTAGAATAGGATATTTGGAGAGAGACCGACCACATTCACATAACTTTTATTACAGTATATTGATATAATTGTTCTACTTTATTATTAGTTCTTGCTGTTAATCTCGGACTACTGTGCCTAATTTATAACTTCAACTTTATCATAGGTATTTATGTATAGGAAAAACATAGTATATGTAGGGTTTGGTACTATGCGTGGTTTCAGACATCCACTGGAGGTATTGGAACATATTCCCCACAGATAAGGGGAGACTGTGTAATTGAAAACAATCCATGGTTGCCTGGCTGGTTCAGTTGGTAGGGGATGCGACTCTTGATCTGTCGGGGTCATAAGCTCGAGCCCCATGTTGGGTATAGAGATTATTTAAGGAAATAAAAGAAAAAAATTTGAAAACAATCCAGAGATCCAGCTTTCGGAGAATGGTTTGTTAAATTATGGTACATCAGCATATTATAATATTACTTATTAGCCATTGACGTTGATTACTTAGAAGACCATGCCATCCTAAAATGAATGTGGAAAAAGTATGTGTCCCACGATTGCAACTACATAAGATTTGTGTACTTTAGGTTGTATGAAGGAAAGAGAAGGGACTTTCGAGGCAATCTTAACTTTTTCCAAACCCTGATTCTGCCATGACAAAGCGAGTGACCTTGGTTCTTTGTAAGATGATGATGAAATTACTTACCAACTTAGAAGATGTAATGAGAAGGTAACTGGGAAGTTGACTTAGCAATGTAGGATTATGGATAATTTATTTTTACAAATAATTCTCTTTAGAATTAAATGTCATTTCCCCCCACACGCTCATTGATGGCAAGTTCTTTTTCTGTTTTTATTTTGTTTTGTTTTTTAAGTATAACATACCTTCAGAAAAGCAAATAAATCTCAGCGAGTTACCACAAAGTGAACACAGGTAGGTAACCACACAAGGAACCAGCCAGCAAGGAATAAAACAGTAGAACCAGCACCCCCAGAGGGTTCCTTAGTGTTTTCTTTCAGTGCATTTTTTAAAAGGACATTATTGGTGATCTTAGAGGTAGAGGCTTCATTTGAGTGTGAAGGCAAAAGTGAAAATTCAAGGAGCTAAGTGGTGAATGAGAAGTGGAAAACCAGAGAGTACCCTTCGTTACTTCCTTTGACTTATAGGAAGTAATCTTTGAATCTGTATCTGTAAAATGTTAATCTGTCTGTATACTTCACAGAGTCCTGTTGACCTAGATGTGAGTATGAAAGTGTCCTGCGAAGTGTAAATCACTTTACAAGTACAAGATATTTAGTGACTGCAAAAAGCAGCTGTCTTCCCACGAAAATACTCTTTTTTTGTTTGTTTGGGTCATTTAGATTGTATGTTGTTATTTGTAATTGGTTAGTCTCCTCATCAGATGATACCTTCCATTTTTTTTTAAATTTCTCATAGTGCTTTGCTTGGTTGTGCATCAAGAACATTTAAATTAATTGTCAATTTCTTATAATCTGAACCTTGGTATTGCTGTTTTTTGTGGGTTTTTTTTAAGATTTTATTTATTTATTTGACAGAGCACAAGCAGGTAGAGCAGCAGAGGGAGAGTAAGAAGCAGGCTCCCTGGCTGAGCAGGGAGCCCAATGTGGAGCTCCATCCCAGGACCCTGAGATCATGACCTGAGCTGAAGGCAGACGCTTAACCGACTGAGCCACCCAGGCGCCCCAGTATTGCTGTTCTAATAAGGGAAACAAAAACAGGATTATTTTTCAGATGATTACCTGAAGCCCAGACTATTATCAGTGGCCCCAATTATATTTTGGAATGGTTTTTAAACATGAAATATTGGCCAACAGTGACTTCACTCTAAAAAATTGGTGGATATGCAATTCATGGCAGCCAAGTCACTGTCACAGTCCATACCTAGTTAACGAGATATAATTATATTAGATCACATATCACTAAAACCAACCCATATCTCATTTGGTGGTTCTAACTACATCAGAATTAAGTCAGTGTTACTGTAATTATATCCTTTTGTTGTTACAGAAGTCAGGTTTATTTAAGTATGTTCATCTTGCTAACATGGGATATTGGTAAACTTGATCCAAACTAATGCAGTATTACTAGGATTTCCATTTTTTCTTCTAGTATATGCACAGTTATGAATTATGTAGAAACATTGACTTTTGCAATGTTACTACTGTGTCATTTCAAGCATCTGTTCTCAAATTGTAAATAACATCCTAACTACTATTTTCCTGATTTTCATTTGAATGTAATTTAGCATTTTAGAGTAGAATCCTAGGGCGTTTGAGAAAACAGTGAGGGATTTAGCAACTCCTTAGAACTTAAGGTCATGTTGGTATTTGTTTTTTTAAATTTTTCAGAAGAACTTTTTTTTCTTTTTAAGATTCCAGTTCTTCAAACAAACAATGGTCCAAGTCTAACAGGACTGACTACTATAGCAGCTCATCTTGTCAAGCAGGCCAACAAAGAATATTTGCTTGGGAGCACTGCAGAAGAAAAAGCAATCGTTCAGCAGTGGTTGGAATACAGAGTAACTCGAGTAGATGGACACTCCAATAAAGACGATATCCGCACTCTGTTGAAGGTATTGTGACTTCTCTTTAGAGGCTAAAATGCATGAACTGTTAGTAGCAGGAAGCTCTCTCCTCTGAGATTCACTAGCCAAAGCCATTGGCCTTCTTGTTTCCTTCTGCCTCAGGGTAATTTTTACCTGTTACTACCTGTGCTGGAAACAGACTCTGCCTGCACTCCCCCTTCAGATCTCAGCTCAGATGCCCCTTCACGAGAAATGTTCTTGACCACCTTTCCCTTAACACATGTGGGTCCTTGTTCTATATGCTTTTTCTTCCTAACACTCACCAATCAACAATTATTTGTATGATTTTTTTTTTTTTTTTTAACGGGATGTCTTAATACTTAGTTTCTGCACTCAGCAGTAAAGTACTTTCTCGAAGGCAAGAAGGGAATCAGAATCTTTGGGAGCTACTGAAAAAAACTGTTAGATTGATCTGAAAAAACTCACATTTTTTTCCTTGAGACTTACTGCTTTAAGATCTGTATTTTCTTTCCAAAGAAGCAAAATCAGAATAAAAGAATCTATCAGTATAAGGTATAAGCTGAATATGGCTCCAGAGTCACCAGCAGTAAAAAATATTCCAAATGATACTTTTTGTTATTTATTTACATAAAAATAAAGCAGATCAAAAAAAGTTTTTATAGTAGCTTAGAATTTAAAGGAACCTAGAGATCATCTAGGCAACCACGTATCACTGCAGGAATCCCTACTGTTTTCTGATTTTATTCCCAGTGTCATATAAATTGGTAGTATGAGTTGTGCAAGAAGGTCTCATAGAACTGAAAGCTTTTCAGTGATCATTCTGGGGAAATGGTTTAAACTGTATTTTTGATAGATATCATAAAGAGAACTGATAAAAAATAAATTTCAGGCTTTGTTCCTTTATAGGTCTATCCTGATCAACTATTAATGCTTAATATCCATACTGACCCCTCCCACTGGCCTCTGCCATGCTCATCAGCCTTTCTAGAGGGAAGCAAGCATGTCTTTCCTCTACGTGAATGTGGGATTTCAGGCAAATAAAATATAAATATAACTATCTCTTACAATTTTCCAGAAGAAAGGATAGTAATAAAGTACTTCATTCTGAAAGATATGAACAGGATTTCACTGAATTGGGTTTATAAGTTCAAAGTTGTATTCAGAGATTGGGTATTAAGAACATAGAAGTAATTCCACCAAAATGTTGTATCTGGGATATGTAAATATTATTTGAAATTGCAGTCAGGAGAATCTGGCGATACTACCATTTTTGAAGTGTACAGGGGGACAGGTGATTTGGTTGTCATCCTTGCTCTGCCAGTTTCCTTACCTGTACCTGTACCTGCACTGATGTGCCTGATGCAGTTCTAAGGGCCAGTGGTCCAGTGACCCAGTAGACACAGTCCCTGCCTGTACAGAGCTCAGACCAGTGGGGGAGACAAATGTATGTATAATGGACTGCAGTGTGATTTTTGGCCATATAAGCATAGATAAGGAAGTGTTGTTTTCTGTTTTGCTTTGCTTTTGGCAGTTTTTATCTTAAAGGCAGTAAATATTATAGAAGTTTAGGAAATATAAGTTAAGGAAAAAAAATTTCAAGCATTAGTAGTCTCACCAAGAGAGAAGTGCTAATAGCACTTATGTTTGGTCATCAAATATTTATTGAACTCCCTTCATGTTCTTTCCATGCTTTTCCTTTCCGTATAGACGTGTGTGTGTTTTGTTTTAAAAGTGGGCAGCTATTGGCCACTGTGACTTGCATTTTTGTTCACTGACAGGGTGTTGTGAATACCTTTCATGTCCACAGAATATTCCTTTATACTATCTTTTTGATAACCTGTTAGTATTGCCTCATAGAGGTGTATCAGGATTTAAATCATTTTAAAAATTTCCTTGTATGCATTCTTTTTAATACTGCTATTTATCTTTGTATTACTTACTTTTACTTCTCACTCTTTAAAGTTCCATTTCGGGCTAAAACCACTATTCTAAGTTTAAATGGCTCATAATGTAATACATAATTTCAAAATGTCAGGCATTACAAAACACTAACATTTGTTGAATCTAGATGGAGAATATATAACTGTTTATTATACTGCTTTTTCAATGTTATTAGAAAGTTTAACACTAATAGGGAAAAAAGCCTCAGAACTCTATAGGGGGAAATATTTGATAATAACTTTGGCCATGGGAAAGACTTGTTTAAAACAAAGGAAATGGACACTGAATATTAATTCTGTGAATATTCTGAATATGTGAGATTCTGTGATATGGCAGGGAAAATTTGAATTATATCACTAATCAGAAAAATACTAATTATAAAGACATTTTAAAGACAACAACCTTGAGAGTCTCTATAACAAAAACTTACACATGGATTCTATTTTAAGAATATATACACTGTACAAACCAGTGTTAAATTATTATTTCAGGCCTTTTTAAAAAATGCTTCTTAAAATTAAATTGAATATATATTTTATTCTTAAGCTTTATCCAGGGTGTTTCATTTGAAGACGTTGGAGAGAAACCATCTCCATTCACAGATCACTCTAGAATTTAAGTGGTAGCTCCTTATATACCAGTCTATTTCACCCTCTGTACCCAAATTTTATTTTGATTTTCCTGCATTTGTCTCATTTTTGTCCATATTCCTTTATGCCTTCATCTGTAGCACCCCTAGCAGTTCCATGCTTATATAGCATTTTGAAAATTCCTGTCTTTAGATGAAGACGTGGGCAGACTCAAAGACATTAAATTCAGTTCAGCAGATATTTACTATCTACAGAAATACCATGGGCCAGGCATTTGGGATGTGATTTGAGAAAACAAAATGTTCTCTACAGTTTAAGGAATTTTTCTGGAATATATGCTGTTGACCACTGAGCAGTGTTCTAAAACGAGTCCTTAGAGAAGCCTGTGAGAATATCTGATAATAATCCATGTAACTGATTTATAAACCTTTGTCTAAAGGTTATATGAATCTTTTGTCTCATTTGATTTGAATGTAATGTAATAAATGCAGCATGAATTCCTGTGCTGTGAAATTACATGTTAATTTTGAGAGGAACCCAGAGTATTCATACAATCTTTCTTTTATCTACATTTTTTTCTTTTCTCAGGGAGGTAATTGATTCATTCATGCTGTTCTGTCAGACTTTACTTCTAATTTAGATTAGGATCTCTTAAGATTTTTATTTCATTTTTTAACATGTACTTTAATTCTTTTTTTCCTTCAAAAGTGCTTATTCACCATTTAGGGAGCTCAGTGCTTACTCGTATTTTGTTGTTAAAGATTTTAAATGAATTCTTTTGTGTACATATTTAATTTAACATTGCCTTTTGAAAATTGATGATTGTGTCTGGAGAACAAATGGCAAAGAACTTTCTGTGGGTTTAAATGGTGTTTGAAACTGGAGTTTTAGGGGTGGCTCAGTCGGTTAAGTGTCAGACTCTTGGTTTGGCTCAGGTCATGAATCATGAGTTGTTGAGATGGAGCCCTGCATGGGGCTGCGTGCTCAGCACAGTGTCTCCTTGAAGATTCTCTCCCTCTGCCCCTCCCCGCACACCCACGTGTGCATTCTCTCTCTCTCTCAAATAAATTAATAAATCTTAAAAAAAAAAAAAAAACTGGAGTCTCTGCAGGTATTGGAAAAACTAGATCTCCAGTTATAAAAGAATGAAATTGAAGTTGGAATGTTACCTTACACAATATATACAAATTAACTCAAAATGGATTGAAGTCCTCATTGTAAAACCTAAAACTATAAAACTCTTAGAAGAAAACCTAGGGGAAAAAATATCATGTTATTTGATTTTGCAGGGATTTCTTATATATGACACCAAAAACACAGGCAACAAAAGTAAAAATGGATAAATTGGACTACATCAAAATTTTAAACTTCTTTGCATCACTGGACACAGTCAACAGAGTGAAAAGGCAACCCATGGAATGGGAGAAAAATACTTGCAAATCATGTAACTGATAAGGAGTTAATATCCAAAATACGTAAAGAACTCCTATAACTCTGGGCGCCTGGGTGGCTCAGTTGGTTAAGCGACTGCCTTCAGCTCAGGTCATGATCTCAGGGTCCTGGGATCAAGTCCCGCATCGGGCTCCCTGCTCTGAGGGAGCCTGCTTCTCCCTCTCCCACTCCCCCTGCTTGTGTTTGCTCTCTCTCTGTCAAATAAATAAATAAAATCTTAAAAAAAAAAAAAAAAAGAACTCCTATAACTCAGCAACAAAAAAACTAAGAAGCCAGTTAAAACTGTAAATTGTGGGCGCCTGGGTGGCTCAGTTGGTTAAGCGACTGCCTTCGGCTCAGGTCATGATCCCGGAGTCCCGGGATCGAGTCCCGCATCGGGCTCCCTGCTCAGCAAGGAGCCTGCTTCTCCCTCTGACCCTCCCCCCTCTCATGTACTCTCTCTCTCTCTCTCTCATTCTCGCTCTCTCAAATAAATAATCTTAAAAAAAAAAAATGTAAAATGGTACAGTTGCTATGAAAAACAATATGCTGATTCCTCAAAAGATCAAAATAGAATTGCCGTATATCCAATAATTCCACTTATGGATGTATACCCAAAATAATTCAAAGTAGGCTTTAAAGAGATATGTGTACACCCACATCCATAGCAATATTATTGATAATAGTCAAGAGGGGCCCATTGGCAGATGACCAGATAAACAGAATGTGGTATATATAAACAATGGAATATTATTTAGCCCCAAAAGGGAAGAAAATTCTGACTGATGTTAACAACATGGCTGAACCTTGAGGTTGTTATGCTAGGTATAAGCTAGTCACAAAAAGACAAATGCCCTATGCTTCCATTTACGTGTTGTGTCTAAAGTTGTCAATTCATAGAAATGGAAAGAATGGTGGTTGCCAGGGTCCGGGTTGAGGGGGAAATGGGGTGTTGTTTAACGGGATAGAGTTTCAGTCTTGAAGTGTGAAAAAGTTCTGAAGACTGATTAAACAACAGTGTGAATATCCCTGATATTTACTGAATTATACACTTAAAAGTGGCTAAGATGGAAACATGATTGTATTACAATTAAAAATTTTTGAATATACGTATATAAAAATACAGCAAACCAATAAATTATAATCCTCTTAAGAGAAATTATTGAAGAGCTTTTTATATTTTAATGGAAAAATTAAATCTAACATGAACATAATTTATAAAATGATCTCCACCCCCCCCCCAAAAAATTGGTGTCTTTCAAATGGTCATAGATGACACTCTGAATAGCATTTTTTAATGTTTTCTTATTTCTTTAAAATAAAATAAGACTAATAACATTTACCTTATTTTTAAAATGAGGTGATTAGTATATGATCTGTTCTTTGAATGAATCTGAATCTATTAATGTCAGATTAAATTTATCAAATTAAAAGTCATTGTTTTGTTTTTTAATAGTCTAAATGTTTGAAGTCCAATGATATGGTAGTTAACTTTATTATTACTGTTTTTTTTTTTTTTTTTCAAAGATGTTATTTATTTGATAGAGTGCACACACCCGTGCGTGAGTTGGCGGAGGGACAGAGGAAGAGGGAGAATCCCAAGGAGACTCTGAGCTGAGCGTGAAGCCGATAAGGGGCTCAGTCTCACAACACTGAGATCATGACCTGAGCTGAAATCAAGAGCTGGATGCTTAACTGGCTGAGCCACCCCGGGACCCCAATTATTACTGTTTTTTAAATGAAATTTTTATTTTTTTCATTTTTATTTTTTAGGATCTTAATTCATATCTTGAAGATAAAGTCTACCTTACAGGATATAACTTTACCTTAGCAGATATCCTATTGTACTATGGACTTCATCGCTTTATAGTGAGTATTTGAATAGTTGTTAGCTTTTTTCTCTGTAATGTTCAGAATGATTTTTTTATTTGTCTTGAATTTAAATCAAATTTGCATTTTCACCTTCTCAAATGAAAATGAATTATTTTTATACAGGGTACCGTAAGCACATATTCCTTCCACATTTCCATCAAATATAGTAGCTTCCTGTTCCTTGACCTGTTTGCTTCCTGTTGTTGTTTCTACTCTTGTTCGCACCTACTTCTCTTGCCACCCTTTGAGCTTGATCGTCATCATCACCTGGCCCGTCATCAGCATCCCACTCTCCTTCTAACATCTTAATTGCATACTCCATATTCTATGAAACCTCTAATCCTTAGCTTGTAATCTCTAACTCACTAATCCCATCATTTTCTGAAGCAGTTGGATTCCTTCCCATTTCCAAACCTATTTACTTTTTCCCTATCCAACCTAGATCCCCTTTTGTGTAACTTCCGATACTCTTCTTAGTATCTGCAGCTTCTTTGCTCCACTGTACATTCACCACCTTTGTCTGTAAATCCCATATCCTTGGTCAGTTGTCATAAATGCCTTCAATCCCATATCCAAGCTGAGCTCTGTTGGAGAAATCCCAAAGCTACAGATTGGTACCACTATAAATTTATACTATCCATTTTCAGCCAGGCTCTCCTATGGATCAGCTCTTTCATTCCTCCCAGGCATACTTCCAGACTTTTAGCACTTTCCTTAACCCCATCCTTTCCCTCCCCCTTTATCTTAGTCATTATCATGGAGTCATCCTCCCTCTCTCAGCTAGAAATTGGAGACTGTTCATTTGAATGCCTTCATCTTCCAGCCCACTGCATGCTTATCCTTAACTGTCTTGTCTCCTTTCACTGCCCTCTTACTTGAACTCACCCTCCTGCCCTGTTTCTGGATCTTGTTCCAAATTTTATATCCTTTCTTTCCCATATGTGCAATTTTCCCCTTTATCTGGTCAGTCTCTTTATTTTTTTTTAATTTATTTATAGAGAATTTATGAGAGAGAATTGTGAGTTGGGGGAGGGGCAGAGGTGGAGGGAGAGAGAGCATCCTCAAGCAGACTCCCCACTGAGTGTGGAGCCCAACTCGGGGCTCAATCCCAGGACCCTGAGATCAAGACCTGAAGTGAAATCAAGAGTCAGATGCCCAATCAACCAAGCCGAGCCACCCAAGTGCCCCCTGGTCAGTCTCTTTAAATTGTATCCCATCTTAAATTTATTTACAGTTAAATGGCACTCACTATGTTCTCCATGCTTCATAAATGTTAACTCATTTAATCCTTAAAACAGCCCTGTAAGGTAGGTATTATTATTATCATCCACATTTTACAGATAAAGTAAGAGGCACAGAGAGGTCAGATATCTTCTTTGAGATCACCCAGCTTTTCCCCTGTGGAAAAAAATAACCCATAGATTTTTCAGTATTCCGCGCCTCATGCATCCAATTAATCAGGTACTATTGTTTCCACCTCTTGGATGCCTCTCGCATGTGTCTTCCTGTGATCCTGGGTGACATTGCCCTAGTTCCAGAATTCATTATCTTCTGTCAGGGCTATCAAAATGGCCTCCTGCCACCAGTTTCATCTCATACCATCCATCTTCATGGCCACTGGAGCGATTTTTCTCACAAATGTGTCTTTCTTTCTCAAAATAAGTAGTTCCTCACTGCCTGGGCTGGGAGCCCCTTCTTCATGTTGGCCCCTGCCAGCCTCATCATCCTTGTTCGCCCCACACTCCCCTCTCTCAGCCTTAGCATACTCCCTGGTCTCTCCTCCTGTGCTTCCTCTGCTCAGGGTCCTCGTACTGCTCTTCTCTTTGGCTCCCTGGGCCCAGCCCTTTTCTCCCTCCCAAACTGGTTCACATTTCAGCAAGTGTCACTCAGCTGCAGCACTGACCTCCTGGTGAAGCCCTCTCAGGCTCCTGAAGCATACTGAAGAGCCCTTTCCTCTGTTTGCTCTGTGCCTCACAGCCTCCCTCAGCTTCAGTTTGTTTCACTTTCTACTGTAATTCTTCTTGGAAAATTTCTCTCTTTTAAATCGTAAACTGAGCCAGAGACTGCAGCAACTCATATTTGTAACACTACCGTCTCACATAATTCCTCCCACATGCATATAGTCTGCACTCCCCTCCATAAACATTGAATAACATAACGGATTCCTCTAGATTTTTCAGTTTTATGTATATTTTCTCTTTGTACCTCATAACTCGGAAGGAGATGGTATTATCCTCCTATCATAGAGAAGGTAGCTAGGGCTTGGAACACCAGGTGCTTTGTGCAAAGACACAGCCTGGGTTTTGGAGGGGCCAAGACGAACTTTGCCTTCTGCTGCAAGCGTCGCAGTGTATGGGGACACCCTTCATACACCATCAAATAACATAATGTATGACCAAAAAAAAAAACCATAATGTATGACAGTTTTTCTTCATCCCCCCTCAAGCTCTAATTCCTCAGTGGATTTACTCGACTTATTAAGCATTGTTTCTCTAAAATCCCTAAAGTTTTGTGCTGAGTTCTATAACATCATCACTGTAACCACCTAGTATGATCCTTCGCTCAGCCTACTAGTCTCTATTATTACAACTATACATATTGAGTTCATTATATGTGTCTATAATACTATCCTTGAGAGACATAAAAAATATAAAACCCTATTTTCAACTGTTGATCTCTTAGAAGAGATAAGACTGTTTCACATGAAAAGAATTGAATAAGGCAAAGTGCTAATTTCTGGTCAGAATATTACAGAAAAGTTAAAGAGGCAAGTAGAACAAAGTAAAATGTAGAATCATGAAATTGTCAGAAAAATATCTGCAGGATTCGGATGCCTTTGGCTATTTAAGGGAATTTGTGTTGTTTTAGAAAGCTTAGTGATAAGTTTGAATATAAATCTTGCATGTGAGTAGGATGACCATCTGTTTTCTCATCCAAAACACTTTTGACAGTGAAAGGAGGGCTATTAATAATTATTGGTACAACAGGAATAAATTAGGACAAATGTTCCTTGTATTTTGAAGAGATAAGACTCAATTTTAAGCAAAATAAGGGGATTGAGGAGGATCATGTCCTGTTTCTCTTTGTACCCCTTCCAGCTCTTAGCACAATGCATCATACAACTAGATGCTTATTGAGATCAGCAATGCTTAGCAATCTCTTCCTCTTTGTATTTCCTATTTTAGGTTGTATATCTTTATAGTGTAATCTTTAGTTTTATGCTTCAATATGATTAACTCTAAAACCTTATTTGAATGTGAAGACAGTTTAAGTAGAGCTGAAATAATTTGATCTATTCCATTCTAGATTCAAAATATTTTAGTAACTTTTTGAATGTAGAATGGTGACGTGGCATGGTATACCTCATTTCAAAATACAAAAGCCTCTAGCTAAAGAGAGTTTGCTGTTATGGTATCTACCTATCTTTATCCCGGTGACAAATCTACAGTCTTTCAGCTAGGAGGTGTCCATAACTTGACTTGAGAGCGAGTCCACTGTTAAGAGCATGGCTACTTTCTGGAGGAGCATAAGAACAATTTATATCTAACAACAACAGCACCCTTGTAGACATTTTTAAAACATTTAAATGTGGCATTACTTAATTTTAAAGCTTAATATTAGGAGAAATGTCATCTCTAATCCTATGTGTGATGCTGTGAGCAGGCTAGTGAAGGCCTGTCCGGACCATCACTTGGCTAGTGAAGGCCTGTCTTCTTGTGGCAGCGACTCTCATTAAGAAGGACAGCATTTCTCCCGTGTAATAAAGTCTAACTCTTGCAAACCAAGTGTGTATTTACGTTTTTCTCTCTCCTGGCTTATGCAGGTCATGTGGTAGGGAAAGGAAATACTCAGAAGGAGGGAGCTTGTCTGGAATTTCTTGGCCAGCAGAGTGAACAAGGTCATAATTCTAATAAAGCGAAATCGTGATAGCACAAGCTGCATAGTTATTTAATTATGAATCCAGGTGTCCTGGAGGGCGTTGGGTTTTCAGGCAGGTTAGAAGTGTTCTGTTCAGTTCAGCATGTTAAAACTCGGGTTACATTAACAATATTTAATGATATGTGCCCATTTATATTTCCTGTGTTGGAATGTATGTCCTCTTTACATGTAGTGACTAGGATATTATGATGAAGGATATTATGCTTATCTTTTTCAAAACAAAAGTGAGTAGAATGGTATGTAAATCATTCAGCTCACCATCCCTTTGGGTTCGTGAAATGAGTCCATAACCAAAGCATCTCTCCCACCCTGGTCCATGTGCAGGCAAAGTACATCAGAGAAATAAACACCTTCTCAAGGAACTCCTCACCGACTCAAACCTCTACTGTGATAGAATTGCACAGTGGTGTTAAATGACATCATCCCTCTTGAGTTAGGTGTAAATATATCCAGATGAGAAAAAGGTGATTATTCAGTATTAAATTCAGGCAGAATCGATGTAAAGCTCAGATTGGCTACCTGCTCACGTTCATCAGACAGTTTCTTGTGCTTCTTTGCTTTGGCAGTATATTTATTTTTGCCCTCATGCATTCCTTCATTTATTTGTTCCCATTATTAAATACTTAATATGTAATCAGCACAGGGTACAAAACAGCAGTCAGGGAACCTTCAAGTCATCAGATAATCCCACAGTATTTTGTTTCATTGTGAGCCCAATTTTAGTTGTGGCTAAGTTACTCTAATTTTAAGATCTGGTCTATCTTAATTCCTTTGAGGAATATTACGTTGTTCTTCCTTTGTGAAACTGCCAGTTAGCCTGGCTGTTTATTATCATACCAGTGATTCATTGCTTTCTTAAAGTGATTTCACTCGTAGATAGCAGTCCCTGTGAACACACTGTTACTCAAGATTATTGAAATCCTTTGTAGCATTATGAGCTGCTTGACTATGAGATTGTTATCAACTAAAATACATTTGTTTTGAAGTTAGGAGCACCATTGGAGGTATGTCGTTCTTTTGGAAAGAAAGGAAAAGTACAAGAAACGGCTACAGTGCAGTCCAGCAGCACCAGCCATAAAGAATGTCCCGAAGGTAGCAAACCAGCCTCTCACCCCGATCTGGAATGGGTCACTTAAAGTGGGGCTCACATGTCTCCGTGGGAAATTAGTGGCTAAGAATATTATCTCTTTGGCTTTGAAGGTTCAGACTAGGTATAGAGAGCCAATATAAATAAAAAGGGATGATTAGGTAGAAAGAGCCAAGAATCATGGCTGTAGACAGTGGCATGTGGGCCAGTAAGAAACAGGAAGTGGTGACTGGAAAGACGCATTGTGTTTCCTGTTGTAAGAAAGGAAAAGAAACTAGCCGACTAGAGAGGGATGCTGGAAGACCAATGTTGTATGTGAAAGGACCTAGGGGGTCCCATCTAAAAAGTTCTAAAAAATTCTAAGGTTTTTTTTTGGGGGGAGGAGGGATCTGTTTTGTGTTTATTTACAGTAAATTCAGAAATAAAATGCCTACCAAAAATACAGCAGAGCTAACAAACTGAGATCAGTCATAATTTTCTCAGATTCATGGGACAAGCTCCAAAATTTAAACTAAAAGGAGGGTCAGTGGTAACCAGCACCTTTTGGAAAGGTTCTTGTGTATTTCTGGCAAAATTTTCTGAGGGAAAATGAACAGATTTATATTCTCTGAAGTAGGTCATCTAGTTAAAAATTACTGGAATAAATTGGAAATGTTAGAAGAAGCTTTAGAAGCTCTTGGAATAAAAATTATTTTGCACCAGGGCTCCTGGGTGGCTCAGTTAGTTAAGCATCCGACTCTTGCTTTCGGCTCAGGTCATGATCTTAGGGTCGTGGGAGCGAGCTCTGCATCCAGCTCCGTGCTCAGTGGGGAGTCTGCTGGAGAGTCTGTCTTTCTTCCTCTCCCTCCCACTCACTTGCTCTCTCTCTAAAATAAATAAATAAACCTTAAAAAAATGTATTTTGTACCCCCCCAAAAAAACAAAAAATAAAAAATAAGTTCCTTTGTGCCTTGAGTCTATTCATAATCCTTACACTAGAGACTCAATGTGCAATTTTTAAGTTGGAGAATATCGATTTTGCTGTGTGTTGTGTCTTGTTTTGCCATTTTAAATAATAGGCCATAATAGTAGCAGCATTAACCAGCCTTTTGCAGTAGCAAATACTCCTCTGAAATGTAAATAGTAAACAGACACTGCCCTTTGTGTTTCAGAGTCTGAGTGAACAACTTGCACATAGATCAAACAAGCATTAGTACTGTATTGTTTGGAAATGCTTTCTTCTCAGTGTGTTTTAATTCATTCAGAAAAATAACATTTCACCAAGAGGCTGAGTGGAGACTTTTCAATGGAAGAGTTGTGAAAAGTAAATTGTAGAAGGTGGTCAGATTTGAATCCTGTATTTCAGCAACTGACATGAAATCAAGTTGGAGTAAAACTTGTTCGCTTTAGCTATCGGGAGAGGTTGCTGAAGTTGATTTCGAATGTATGTATGTATGTATGTACATATGTATGTGTGTATGAATGAAGAAAACTCACCCCCGATTTCCTGTTAGATTTGTAGCTGTGTATACTAGTGGTTGAGCTGGTGAAGTTCACATATGGGAAAGATTTAGAAAAAGAATGAAGTGTCAGCTCTTTTACAAAATGTGTTTTACCTTTTGAATAAACTGATACTCAGTTTATTCTGTAGTGGTTGTTTATTTGCCTCCTGTGTACAGACCAGATAGTTAGGAATAAGATAATTCTTCATATGTGAAGCCATGAATTCTCTTTTAATAAAAAGTAACTTTTATATTAAAAAAAGACATTCTTGGTCAGTTTTCTTGACTACTGTGTTAATTTTCTATCTCTATTAACGATATTGTAGGTGAAATAGTTACAGTAACGTATTTCTGATAACTAGATGCAACCTTACACCGCCTTAAACAAGATGAGTATATTTTTATAATTTGTGTAGCAGCTTATAAGTAAGGACCTAACCTGAAACTTAAATTTTTTTATGTAGCAGAAGCAGGAGACTTTCACTGCTAATAATTTTTTTTTCACTGCTAATAATTTAAGTAAACTGAGCCTACAGAGTTGGACATCTGAGGCCACCAAAGACAATGTTAATACATTGTTGATAAAATAGTATCTTCATGTCTAAGGTAAAAAGGAAAGCAGGATGATTGTATAAATTTTTCTTTATAAATTGCCTTATAGTAAATATGAAATGGGAATATGAGTTCAGTTAAACATTTATTGAGAAAATACTACATATCTGCCTTTTAATTTTATTAATACTATTTTGTATTCTGCAATACATTTTGCCTACTAGAGTGATTTGACCTTCAGTGTTGTTGACCCAGTAACGTAGCAGAGTCTTTGCCTGTAGACACAAGTATATGCTAAATTCTGAACAGCCACAGGACATCTGTTTCGCTAGACATGCCTTCCAACAAGCAGACTGCTAATGGATGTGAACCACAGGAGGGTTTTTTTTTTTCCCTTGTGTAAATATTCAGTCAGTTTTACAGAGACTTGTAATATCTGTTGAATAAATGTTGATTTAAGAAGAGGAAAAGGAGCTTCCTACTCTACTCTTAAACATGGGTCATAGCTGTTAGTTACTGCCCCGCTGGCGCTCGCTTTACCTGACAGCTCTTAATCATTCCAGTCCAAGATTTGTCTCAGAGAAAAGTCTCTGAGTCACCTACTTTGGAATTGGAGCACAGTGAAATGATCGGCACCAACTGTTTTTATTGTGTCTTTCTCTAACCAAATCTCTGGGCATTCTTGAGCTTGACAGGAAATTGTGTGGCCTGCTACCTCTACTGGAGAGAGAGTTCAGCTTTGTAGCAAAGCGAATTGAGAAGGTCTGTTCATCTGAGGCATATGCCACTGAAAATAGCCCTTCCTTCTTGTATTAGGCAATAATCACTTGTAATTAAGTGGGTCATCATCTTCTTGAGTACAGTTTTTCCCCAGAGCTTAAGAGGAAGGAAGTAATATACATAGAGAGAAAGGAAGTATATATATATTTGGGTTTACATGGTATTCCCTTGTTAAGCATGTTAGGTCCTAATAAACCTTGCTTTTAGATTTGCTAAAAAATATTGTAGAGAGAACCAGTGTCTTAGCCTTTTGGAAGCTCTTCTCTTCCTTTCTCCTATCTTCCTTTCCAAAAAGTAAAAAACAAACTCTTTCTGTTAGGAGTTAGGTGGTCAGAGCCAGGGTCCCCAACAAGAAAGTATGGAGTCAGAACAGCTAAGATAAAACAGCACTAACATCCTGTTTTGCAGCTTAGGACCGCACCGACATTCTGCTTTGCAGCCTTTGCAGAAATGACTTCTGCAAAATGTCCTAAAATAAGACAGTTAACCACAAAAGCATTTGTCAATATCACAGGCAAGGGACAGGTAAGACCTAAGCCCCCAGATGTCAGCAAAAAAAAGACCATCAACACGTGGACACTAACCTAATAGATATGTGACCAAAGCTCTGATGGGCACAACTCAGCACACCCTGATTGCTTAAGAAAGTTCCGCAGAAGAGCTCAATAAAAACCCCTAAACTTAGAAACTCTGAGGGCAACCCACTCGGGCCCGCCTCCCTCTCTGGGAACTTTATACTCTTGCTCAATAAACTTCGCTGCCCACCATTCTTCGTCTGGTCCACTCTTCATTCTTCGAAGCAGCGTGACCAAGAACCGGGGCACTAAGGGGACACAAATCCTGTAACATTTGGATCTCCAGATGCTGGGTTAATGTAATTTTTGCATTTGTTGAAAATTTGAGATTTCCCTAAAAAGCATGTCTGGTGTTGAACTGAACATAAAATCATCAAACAAATGGCTCTTCTAAGTGGCTGAAACTTTTTACTCCTATCTAAATGTATTGGCTTTTGAGAACTGGAGTTTTTCTCCCTGAGTTTTTTATCTTCTACACAAATGGTATTGATAATTGTTCTTATGCAATGCTGTGTTGTGTGTGTTTTTAATCTCTATTTAGGTTGACCTGACAGTTCAAGAAAAGGAGAAATATCTTAATGTGTCTCGCTGGTTTTGTCACATTCAGCATTATCCAGGGATCAGGCAACATCTGTCCATTGTTGTCTTCATCAAGAACAGACTATATACTAATTCCCACTAGGAGCTATCCATGACATACAGAAGCATGATCACAAATATTTTAAATGGAAAGTATATTCTGGACCAGAGAAATAACGTAAATGGATACACAGTCATTCTTTATTTGCTGAAGTTGGAATAAACTTATGTCTGAATGTTTATTTGTTCTTCAGTTGAAATTTTGCAGCTTTTATATAAAAATTCAACTGTCAAAACTTGAGATCAAGTTATAAATTAACCTTTTTTTCATAGATGAAATTTATTTTAGTAAAACTTGCAAATCAGTGGCTTAATCTTAAGGGAAAAAAAACAGTCCTTTCAGTGGTGACATAACTTGGCTATTTATCGACCTCCGTCTCATATTTTACAATTCATTTCCCCCTTATGGATATTTACAGTAATTTGTTTAATAACTATAATAAATTGTGCCAAGTATACAGAAAGGGAAGACAGATGGATTTGTTTTCAAATAATTTATGTGAGCCAGTAAATGTGGTTGAAAAAATCTTTTTTGTTTGTTTCTTTCTTTCCTGTAGTCAGTATTCATTGAGGTGAAACTAACTACTGAACTGCCTTGGAGGGAGCTGGAATAAGATACATTCAGTGGAGCTAATGGTTCTTTTGTTGTGTTGGGTTTATTGGAATATGCAGTGGCTAAAAACAAGATGGGAAATTCCTGCTATTCCACTAACTTTAGACTTGACAACTACTAGATTTTTCTAAACTAAAAGCCAACTCAGGGCTGCTGCTGAAGCCCTCTAAAGAACAAGGACACGTGTTATTAACAAATCTATACATTTTATAACTTACTGGCTGAGTAAATAATTATTGAGAGCAAAAGAACTTTTATTTCCAAATAATAAGAAAAATAGAGCTTTTTAGGGGCACCTGGGTGGCCTAAGCATTGGATAAAACAAATGAGTACATACTTCAAGAATAAATAACTTACACACTTTAAATGGCTAAACTGTGATATGTGAATTACAGCTAGGTAAAGCTTTTTTTTTTTTTTAAGGAATGGAATCCATCAGCCTCACCATATATTAGGAGACCTTGAAGAGTTCAGTGCACATGAAATCCCTCTTACGAAATAGAGATAAAAATTTCTGATCTCATGACTTAATTCGCAATGAGAATGTATAAAAATTACTTAGTGTGATGCCTAGCCCACAGAAAGTGATTGATACTGCTATGGAAGATCGTAAAATCATAACCCATAATTTTATAAACTCAAATGCTTGAACTAATTCTTTTTTTTTTAAAGATTTTATTTATTTATTTGACAGAGAGAGACACAGCGAGAGAGGGAACACAAGCAGGGGGAGTGGGAGAGGGAGAAGCAGGCTTCCCGCGGAGCAGGCAGCCCGATGCGGGGCTCGATCCCAGGACCCTGGGATCGTGACCTGAGCCGAAGGCAGACGCTTAACGACCGAGCCACCCAGGCGCCCCCTTAAACTAATTCTTAAGTCCCCTTCTGCTGCCCCTGAGGTGCCTGTGCAGCATGAGCCCATCTGAGATAACACAGGTGGGCAGAACATCTCGTGATTTTGGTAAAACACGCATTTGTCTTATGACTTACCAATTTAAAAATCTCTGATCCTCACATCTTTCAAGCTGTTCAAAAAAAGGGACCGTTCTATTCATTGTTTTGTTTTGTTTTGTTTTCTAAAAGAACAGTGAGACAACTCTAAAAAAAAGTGGAGCAATCTTTGTGCATGCTATTTCTTCTGAAAAGTGAATGCCCCTTTAAAACCATTTTCTTTCTGTGATTCTCAGAAGTCTGCATCACTGATCATTCAATAATCCCTCAAATATTTATTTAGAACCTACTATGTATCAGAAACTGCTTGTCCCTGAGGATGACAGTGATATTATTGCTCACATTTACAATCTAATGGTCTGTGACCAAATTTCTGAAACAGCATGTAAAGTTTCTTTGGGAGGCTGCCGCCACTCAGCATTGCTTGAAAGTAAGTAGAAGCAATCAGATACCATTTACTGAATGCCGGCTCTGTTGCAGGCTCTGTACCAGGCACTACACATTCAAGTTATCTCACGTTAATTGAGGAGTTAGGATGAGGGCATAGACCAACCCACATGCTAACCAACACCTCAGTTAAACCATGGCTGGAGTGAATGGGAATTGGACAATTTCAGAGGCAGAGGACATAATCTGTCACCATATTATACACAGGGGTTGATTTGACTGCCCTGAGTAGATACATGGCCCTGTCTCCTTATTCCACATGCAACTTTCAAGAACAGATAAAAAATTTCAAATAGAGAAGGAACATTTCATCAGTCCAGAATCCATGAAATTTTCATTCATTGAAATGAACACTAGTTTTAAAGAGAAATAACAGGGCTGGAGGCAATATCAAAAGGTCATTTGCCTTTAGACACAGTTCTATCCAAAGGATAAGATGTCATGAATATTTTATGAAGTTGTGTGGTTTTAAATCTCAAGTAGCTGCTGTCGCAATATGGTAGGAAAAGTAACATAGCTTCGAGAATGACATAATCACCTGTCTTTCTGGTTAAAACTCCACTCCCTCCCCATCCAGACTCAGCAATAAGATTATTGGACTGAGGTTTTTAACAGATATGTGGGCGTTCTCATTTTTACTTATTCCCTGTTAAACATAGGTCCTCCATTGGCTCCACCCAATTAAATCTGAAGCCATAGGTAAGCATAGTCAGTGATAAGCACATAAGGTCTCCTGCAAGGATGAAGGCAGGAAGGTTGGAGCAAAATGAATGGGAGGTTCACCTACTGCAGGGCATCACATGAGAGCCCTGCTGAAAGTCCTTCCAGAAAAACCTCAGGATGTGTTGATAAAAATTTAAGCAGATCTATTGTTGGGAAAGAATGGAACTCTATTATAATCAGGTACAGATACATCACACTGGAAGATCAAATACGCAACTATTTGACAAGAAGTCAAATTAGAATTATTGTGAAGTATAGCTTTTTCATTTATATATATTTTTTCATTTGACTTCATTCCTTTAAAAAAAAAAAGACGTTACATGAACTTTAATATTAATCTAGCTTTGGCAGAGATGTGGTGGTTTAATGGATTAGAGCATTTAGCTTTTTACCCCAGAGAGCAATATTTCTTCTTTTTCTCCATAATTAGATAATCTGCTCCTACCCATTACCAGGGCACTAAATTTCAAATTCTCCATATACCTGAGCAGGCTGCTACATATATGGCCATCTTAATTTTAGTCTTGATTTATTGAAGCTGAATTACATTCCTAACTTCCTGGAGCTCTGGGTGAATTTTATTGCAAAAGTGATGGGGAGAAAGTTACCATCATATATCTCTCTTGCTGGGCAGAGCTTTTAGATACACAAGGGGCTCTATATCCCACTGCTCCATGTCTTGTATGCTGAATTTATAACACTTTGAAGCCCAGCTCTAGGGTTACATACAGGCATATCAGAGACGAGATGGGGAATTTGATTTTGCAATAATGATTACTTGTTGCTGGAGCCCACATTCCTGCAGGCTCTGCCTTTATTCCCAATACCGCTGGTGAATAAAACTAATTCCAACTGCTACCTAATCTAGCAAAACTCATCTTTCACTTACGAGAGAGGCCCAAAGAAGGTAGACAGGAAGTCAGGAGAATTTGAGATCTTGGCTATTTTTGCTGTTCTGTCTCAAGGATTTCTGCTTCCATTATCGTGATTCCTTTAGGAACATTTTAATCTTTGTGGGGAGGATGAAAGCTCTGCATCTTTTCCAGCCTGGTGAGTTAATGTGATGGCTCATGCATGCTGTCTCTTCCACTTCAAAGAGCCTGGGTCCCTAGGGCTGGCCAATTGTATTATGGATCCTGCAGATTTGGCTTGCCATTCCTGCTGAGTGTCATCTGTCCTAACGGTCTAGCGGTGGATACTTCTTGTCCCCCCTAACATCATCTGCTTGAGAAATTTGTGCCTGGCAGGCCTGTCTGTCCAAGTTAAGCTTGAAATACAGTAGCCACACAACTAATTTGACAAGGCATAGCTCTGAACAACAAGGCCAGAGGCTTGCTTTGACCAAGACCACAAATTTCCAGTCATCGGATTACCAATTCCAAAGTTTCTTTGGTGCAGTCCATGAACCAGTCTGTTCACATAATATAGTCCCTTACTGTCTCATTGTTCCTGACCTTCTGCAACACACACACCCTTATCTTAAAGTCACTTTAGAGATTTTTAACCCTCTGGCTGGCCTCATCAGCTCTGTAGTTTCTGACTGCTTTCAGCATTTGACTTGAGCCCTGTTCACTTGGATAAAAGAACTCTAGAGTTGACTATCATTGTCAGAAGTTTGGGGAATGCGTAACGGATATCACGCTAAAGTAGGGGTTCTCAGACTTTAGCGTGCGTGGTAAATCACCTAGCACCTCTCAAAACACACGTTGCTAGACTCCAATCTGAGTTTATGTAATTTGAGAGGTCCAGTGTGGTGACCATACCACGAGGACCATTGTAGTACACCTGTCCAAAGCTGGGGTGACAGTCAGGCATAGAGTAGCTGTATCACTCAACAGCTGGTACTTCTGCGACATTTTCTGAAGGTCTGACCAGTGGGGGGATGGAGCTCTCTACGTTTTGACTAGTCAGCCCCATCACAGGAGCACAGATCCTCTTTGTGGTGGCCCTGCAGTTGGGTGCCACATGTTCTCCCAAGTGGTGTAACTACAACAGAAGCATTTGCAGGGGTAAGAAGCAGGATTGAGGACAGGACTGTTGAGTGGTTGCCACCTGGAAGACAGCTGATCTCAGAGCACAACATGCTACTTCCACCAAAATCTCAAGTCTAGTGTGCCCGGCACATTCCCGAAACTTCATGAGATGAATATGTAGTAATATTTACCATCTAACCCCCAAAGACCCTCTAGTCTTTTTCTCTCCTTTGCTTTCGTTAGTTTCTTCCATTTTTAATTTTTTTCATCTGCTTCAAAAATAGGTTAGACAAAAGGGGATAAACAGTAATGTCAACAGAAAATGTGCCAGAGGAAATCTCAGGAAGCAGATATGATAAAAAGCAAAATAAATTTAGGAAGTCCCTTCCCCCAGTTATGCTTATCCTTGATGAGCTTATACCAAGGAATGAATTTCAATTTTGTTCTCAGTATGTATATAATTAAGTGCTCATTTTATTTCTATTTTCTAATTTTCATAAGCTTCAATATGGTTGTAGCAGCTATTACCCTGAAGTCAGAACTTTATTCCTACTAAATTAATATTATTTCCATGATTTAGAAGTCTGAACTCTCAAAAAGCACAATAATTGGAAAAATCCCTTTACAATTCCATGGTTGAAAAGTGTCTGATATTGAGTCTCTGGAAAATGATCTTGTAGGTATAATATGATGGTGAGAACAGCTATCCTTAAAACACAGAAGTAGTTAGTGTATGATTCCATGCATGTAATAACTTTTTTAAAACACCGAATTTTAGAAATGGAGGATATATTATAGGTTGCCACGGTTTGGGATGGGGACAGAGAGGAAAGTAGGTGTGATTACGAAAAGGCACCCGGGGGATCGTTATGGCTTTGAAACTGTTCAATATGTTGACTGTGATGATGGGTACATGAACCTACAACCTAAAATTGTACAGAGCCAGGGACGTCAGAGTGGCTCAGTCCATTGAACATCTGACTCTTGGTTTCAGCTCAGGTCAGGGGGTCATGGTCTCAGGGTGGTGAGATTGAGTCCCACATGGGGCTCTGCGCTCAGCAGGGAGTCTGCTTGGGATTCTCTCCCTCTCCCCCACCCCGCCGTTAATAAATAAATAAATATTTAAAGAATTGTGTAGAGCCAAACACACACACACACACACACACACACCATGAATACAAGTAAAATGGGAAAGGTGGGATAAGATCCATGGATTGTATTGATGTCAATATCCTGGTTGTGATATTAACAGTTGCAAAATGTTACCATTGGAGGAAAAGGAGGTGAAATGTACAAGGAAGCTCTCTATTATTTCTTGCAACTGTGTGAGAATCCGTAATTATCTCAAAGTTTCATTTAAGAACACAGAAAAACCTCGTGGATCCAGACGAGAGATGACACAAGACCTTTGGCAAGATGACATAGAGTCCAAGGACATGCGCACAGAAGCCCTAATCCTCGCTGAAGTGCATCGTGCAACAGCACTGCTCATGTGACTCTTTTCTGACTTTTTGCTGCGGACCTAAGCATTCCAGACAACAGTATAACTCAGTGATATACAGAACAGAACAATCAAACAGCTAGAACATTTATCTGCAGACTCTAAGCAACAGAATTGCAGAAAAGTAATTGTATAGTGATTTAATACTGTTCCCTCCGGTAGACTGTACACTCATTGAGAGAAGGAAAAGGCTGAGCAGTCTTGCTCACCCCTGTATCTCAGCTCCTAGCACTGCACTTGGTACATAGAAAGTGCTCACTACACGCTTGTTAAATGTGTTTGAATGAAAGAAATTTACAGCCCACATGTCCTTTTAGAGGTAGAATGGCTTCTCTCTTCCCTCCTTCCCAATCTCCCTTCCCCACTCTCTCCTCACCCACCATCTACAGGTAAACACATGCACAGGGACCAAGATTGTTTCTGCCACATGCAAGTTGGACAGTCATTTAACCTCTCTATGCCTCAGCCTCCTCATCTGTAAAATGAGGATAATAATAACAATAATACTACTTCAAAGGACTGACATGAGGGTTAAATGAATTAATATGTGTGAGCACTTACGACATTATCTGGCATATCATGGGTGCCGTGTAGGTGTTTGTTCAGTTGCAACACAATTCTGACACTGATTACAGGAATTAGCTTAGACCCCACAGGTAACAGACACCATTCTCTACAAGACTGCCCTCACTTTAGACACCAGGCACAAGCTCCAGGTTCCTAAGACACCCGTGTTTCTGACCAGCTGTCTACAAATTTTGGAGGTTCCCACTCTACCTCCTCGGGTTCAGTAATTCATTAGAATGGTTCATAGAACTCAGGGAAGTACTGTACTTATGATTATAGTTCTATTGTAAGCCAAATAAGTACATGCATGGGGTGAGATCTGGAAACACGAAGCTTCTGTATCCTCAGTACGCCCCATCCTCTAGATACATCAGTGGGAGATTACCAACTGGGAAGCTCACTGGAGCTTCTGTGTCCAGGAGGTTTTATTGGGGTTTTATTACTTAGGCATGGATGCTTGAATTATTGGCCACGTGACTGAACTCAGTCCCCAATCCCCCTCCGCTCCCCAGAAGTCAGTGTTATTTCATGGCTCAAAGCCCCAACCCTCTAATCACACGTTGGTCTTCAAGCATGGCCAGCTCCCATCCTGAAACCATCTAAGGGCCCTTGGGAGTGACCTCGTTAGCATAAACTCAGGCCACCACGAATAACAAAGACACTGCTATCACTTGAGATATTCCAAAGATTTAGAGGTTATCTCCAAGGAACCAGGAACAAAGATCAGCCCAATTCTTTATTATACAACATAAATAAAGTTTACTGAATTGAATAGGCAGAAAGGGCAAGAAAAGCATTCCAGGAAGGGAGTGTCTAAAGAGAAGCAGCAGAAATATGCCCGGCACAGTCATGGCACAGTGGAAAGACCCCGCCTAGCTGACTGGGCTTTGCTACGTTGAAATGCACCAGTCTTGTAGTCTAAAGACCAGAGTTCTGACGAAGGTTCTGCTATTTGATAGCTACGAGCCATCTCATGGGAGAATGGGGATCATTGTAACCCATCGTAAATCCTACCTAGGAGAGATGGGCATAATTGAAACACACACCATTTAGTGAATTTATTTATTTGCTATTTCTCAAAATTTTACTATTTCTCACCATGCATTATTTCCCCCCACAAAATTCATTATTTCTCACAATACTCTGGTTGGAGTGTTATGGAACCTGGATTGCATCACCCCAGGGAAGAACCAAGCAGCACTCAGAGATCTTGGAGGATAGGAGGTTTATTTAACGCCGGCGGGCTCAGAGGAGAGTGGTCTCCAAAGGTCTGAGCCGTGAGCACAAAGCGGGTAATTTATACACTTCTACTTCCGCATACTAGGCACTCTTGGCACGTGCGGGAAGCTGGGCAGGGAGAAGAACCCAGAAGAGGCCCGGGGCAAGGGCTGGGACTCCCTTGCTGGGTCGGTCGGCCATCTTAGGACACAGATTTCCCTTATCAGGAGTAGGCAGTTTTCTGGCTTTGTGGCGTTATTAGCTCCACTGCAGTTCATGAGATTGCGTTCAAAAAGGTTGATGGCTGGGATGAAAAGAGCCGAGAATGGCTCCCTCACACATCTGTGGCCTCATGCTGACTGCTTGCTGGCTCAGTTCTCACCCACATAGCCTCTCTCTACATGTGATGTCTCATCTTCCAGTGCTTCCCCACACGATGACCTTCCTACAGCAGGACAGCCTGAACTTCCTGACAAGAGAGCAAAAGTAGAAACCACCAGGTGTCTCAAGGCCCAACACCAGCCCAACATTTTTCCCACCATGTTCTATCTATCCAAGCAAGTCACAAAGCTGCCAGTTTTGAGGGGAGGGGAGACCAACTCCACCTGAGCAGCATGTTGCATGTGTACACACGGAGGGAAGGAATCACTGCAGTCACCTTTGGGTACTCTAGCATGTTCTCTGACCCTCAGTTTACTCATCAAAGTGGGTATTTTAATAGCTACCTCAACTAGATTCATGAGAAGATCAAGAGACATGTCATATGATATTTGATAGCATTTTATAAATTGTAAAGTGCTAAAAAAAAGTACAAGATATTTTAGTGGTGGGTGGGATAAATGTGGATTGGAAGAACGAGAACAGATTTTACAGGGCTTTAAAAGGAGATAGAGGAGGTTATAGTAGTCATAATAACATTTATTGAGCATTTGCTATGCGCCAAGAATTGTACTAAGTGCTTTATGGGTATTATCTTCTTTAATCATCACAATCTTATAAATGGATATTTTATTGCCATTTTACAGCAAAGGAACTGAAGGCAAGAGGCAGAGCCAGAATTTCAACCCAGTTCTGTCTGGTTCTGAAGTCTTTACTACTGCACCAAAATTCTTCTATCACTTATAGTCAATTAGCAGTTGGGTAAGGGGAGGTAGCTGCTACCCCACAACTACTAAAACAGAATTTTTGAATGTGGAACCCGGAATCTGCATACTTAACAGCCACATCAATGTGGAAGAAGCATTAACCTCACTGTGCCATAGGGAGCCTTTTCAGATTTTTCAGTATTTCAAAGACACTGAGAAGACAAGCTGAAAGGAAATTTAGGCTTGCAGGTGCAGAAGAAAACTTGAAAAAGAAAAGTACTTAGAAGTGGGGAGAATAATGAAGGGCTTTAAAAAATAATTACATTTTCTAGAGGTTGATGCTAAAGCTGAGGGAATGGAATTGAGACTAGAAAGCTTACAAACCAGACTCAACAACTTGCAATTAATCAAGAGTACATTTCATGCATTAATTCATCTATTTTATGCCTCTTTGGCTTTGGGCTTGTTATTTCCTTCGCTAGAAAACCCCAATTTCCATCTTCTTCTCACCCAACCTAACCAACATCTCTTCATTTCGGTTCTGAGGACAAATAGGTGCCTCCTCTGGGAAGTCTTTCCTGGCCACCTCCTACCCCCAGGTGTCCCACATGTGTACTGTACCTTCCTCAATGCTATCATTTATAGGCTTCATATTCTAAACGTTGGCTTATATTCCTTCTTCAGCACTAGACTGCAAGATCCTGGAGGGTAAGGGCTGTACAGAAAGAGAGGGACAAGGGGAGACTAGATGATTCTTAGAACCACTGGATGAACAGAGGAGGTGAAGAAGCCATTGCAAAGCTGCACATTGTCTTACTGAGATTACAAGATGAACTTTATGGAGTTTAACAAACCGCAGCAATTAGATACATGCAGTTCCAAAGTTGACATTTCATGACCACAATTCAAAGCTGCCTAGCAAACCAGTCCCTTCCATAATTACACGTATTTTATCTTAGACCATATAATAACCGGTTGAAATTTTGTACATACAAATACCAAGAACAAATTTGTTTTTTCTTCACATGGGCACGAATGAGCCTAAGTGATCTGGGCAAGTTACTTTAACCCTATTTCATCATTTGTTAAAAAGAAATGGTAAAACCGTTTCCCTGAGTTGCTATGATGACTAAACGTGGCAATGCCCGTCAAAATGCTTTATAAAATATTGGTGGCAGGTAATAACAGAGATAATATACTTCTAATACTATTAATATTATTCTGCGACTGTATCTCCTCTCTCCCACCCTCTCTAAACCAGAATAAATTCCAGCGAATTTAAGGAGAAATAACAGAATTTCACACCAACGTTCCAATTCCGGCCGCATCTGCCCTAATCCAGCATGGCGGCATCTGCTTCTTGATGTCCCCATCTCTGGCTACACTAACGCAATTGCCCGCTGGGTAGACTCGGCTTTTCCTACGCCCTTTGATGACGCCCCAAACCCGCGCCCGGAAGGCGGGCAGCGCAGGTCTGCGCAGGCGCAACGCGGAGGCGGGTGGGCGGAGTAGGTCGCGATGAGTGGCGGAGGGACGGAGACTCCTGTGGGTTGTGAGGCCACCCCGGGCGGCGGCGACAAGAAGAAGGATTCGCTGGGGACCGCGGGCTCGCCAGCGCATCTCATTATCAAGGGTACGGAGTGGTAGGGCTATCGCTGTGGTGGAGCTCGGCGCTACTCCACCTCCCAAGCGGCGCCCTCTGACCCAGGGCCGCTCCCCAGGGCGCCCCCCAGCTCCCGGGCGGCCTCGCATTCGTGGGAGGTTGGGGGAGTAGTGGCCAGAGCCCGCCAGGTTTCCTACGCCAGATGCCTCCCAGTAACAACCAACCAACCCAGTCCCTCTTACTTTTTCAAAAAAGCCGCGGATATGCGTCTTGGGCCCCGCCCCTTCTACCCTTTCCCTAGCGGGGGACCTTTGAGCGCGGAGCTGCTTTGGACGCTGCTTCACGACGGTCCTGTAACGCTTAGGGAGGCATGGAGCTTGGGTGTCGGGAAGGGCCTGCACCCCCCGGCAGGTCACTTAAGAGTTGGGTGACTTTGGGTGGTCTGCTTTACCTACTCTGCTCCTGTCTGCTCCTGGGTCATGCAAGGAATAAATGAGATAACATATATGAAAGCATCTTAAAACATTAAAGCGCCATACACGTGTAGAGATGTCCATTTGTCTTGTCTGCTTTGCGCTTTGAGAAGGTTACATCCTGGATTCTCACAGAACCTGAATACTTGATTCCCAAAGCTCACAACAACCCTGTTTTCCTGTAGCAGGATCTTTGCCAGTTAGATACGGAATTTCTCATCCTCATCCTTTTTTTTTTTTTTTAATTTTTTATCCTTATCCTTTCTTAATCCAATGCTGATCCTGTCTGTCCCAACATCTTGCAGCGTTGAAGCCCTCGTAGGATGCCAGAGTCCTTTCACTACCAAGAGAATGACGTCTTTTGGTTGCTGCCTATTTCATTTTAACCTTACCTGTCAGGACTGTAGACAGCTCCAACACAGCTGGCTGTGGCTATTTTTCTAGACTTCAGGTTGTCTCTTAAATCTGATTAGGAGTGTGGGAGTGGTGCGTGAGTGTTAGGGCTAGATTGTAAATGTTTATATGTGCTATCTTAAGTGAACTACTTTTTTTTTTTTTTTAAAGATTTTATTTATTTATTTGAGAGAGAGAGTGAGAGACAGAGCACAAGAGGGGGGAGCAGGAGAGGGAGAGGCAGACTCCCTGCTGAGCAGGTAGCCTGATGCGGGACTCGATCCCGGGACTCCAGGATCATGACCTGAGCTGAAGGCAGTCGCTTAACCAACTGAGCCACCCAGGCGCCCTAAGTGAACTGCTACTTAAAAATGTTTTTAATTGCAGTGAAATACATGTAACATAAAATTTATCTTCACCATTTCTAAGTGTACAGTTCAGTGGCATTAGTACCTCCACATTGTTGTGCAGCCATCAGCACCATCCATCTCCAGAACTTTTCATCCTCCCAAACTGAAAGCCATTGTACCAATGAAACACTAACTCCCCATCTCCCCCTCCCTCTAGTCCCCGGCAACCACCGTTCTACTTTCTGTATCTGTATGTGACTACTCTAGGTAATTCATACACATGAAATCATAAAGTATTTGCCTGGCTTATTTCACTGTGTATAATGTCCCCAAGGTTTATCCAGGTTGTAGCATGTGTCAGAATTTCCTTCCTTTTAAAAGCTAAATAATATTCCACTGTATGTATAGACCACATTTTATGTATCCATTCATCTCTGGATGGACCCTTGGGTTGCTTCCACCTTTTGGTTATTGTGAATAATGCTGCTGTGACCATAGGTATGCAAATATCTGTTTGAGTCCTTGCTTTCAGTTCTTTTGAGTGTATGTGTACCCGGAACTGGAATCGCTGGATCAAATGATAATTCTATTTTTAATTTTTTTGGGTAGTCACGATACAGCCTTCTGTAGTGGCTGCACTATTTTTACAGTCTCACTCGCAGTGCACAAGGGCTCCAATTCTGCACATCCTCACCAACACTTGTTATTTTGTGTCTTTGGCAGTGGCCCTCCTAATGGGTATGAAGTCCTTCTTGTAGTTTTAATTTGCATTTTCCTAATGATCAGTGATGTTGAGCATCTTTTTATGTGCTTATTGACCATTTGTATATCTTCTTTGGAAAAATGTCTATTCAAGTCCTTTGCCCATTTTTCAATCAGGTTGTTTTTTGTTACTGAGTTGTAGTTCTCTGTATAGTTTGGATATTAACCCCCTTGCTCATGGATGATTTGCATATATTTTCTTCCATTCCATGGGTTGCCTTTTCACTCTGTTGATTGTATCCCTTGATGCATAGGGTTTTTGTTTTTTTTTTAATTTTCATATATTATTTTTTTTAAAGGTAATTCAAGGAAAGTTTTTCAAGTTAATTGAAAATTGAGGTTTTAATTAAAAATATGTCCAGAATTTCCTTGGCTTTTCTTATGGAACCATTCACTCTTTTCATTCTGAAAATCTATTTTTAGTTCATTCTTATTTAAAGACCATCGTTGTGAACAGATCATTGTTGAATTTTATTGCCAGAGTCTAGTGAAAGGGAAACATAAATAAATGATTTCAGTACTTGTGCCCTGGGTCTTTAAGGGTTTCTGGCCCATGGTTTGGGTGTTAGGAGGTAAGGACTGGGAAACAGGGAGGGTTTCCTGGACACTGTAGTCTGATCTGAGTCTTGAAGAGTCAAGTGTGAGCAGTTAAGAAAAGAGGGCAAGACTATTTTGGACTTAGTTTGGAACAGCATGAGCAAAGGTGTGGAAGCATGGCATGTTTGGGAAGCTGCATGTATTGCTACAGTGTGACTCTGAGAGAGGTGGAGTTTGGTAGAAATCAGACCATAGAAGACTTCTCGCCTTTTTAGGGAATTGGACTTTTTCTTGAATGGCAGGAAACTATCCAGCAGTAAGTATAAGAATCATGTGGTTAGATTTACATTTTAAATAAAGCACTCAGGCAGATAACTGTGGATCCTCATCTTGTGCATTGGGTGTTAGTGAATTTGTCTAATTGCTAAAATGAATTTGTAACTCCAAAATCAGTACTGATGGTGTTTTCATAGTCATTCCCACATGCACAGAATAGAGAAAAATTTGAGTCTCCCTACATGCACATTTGTAGTTGAGACTGAACAAGGCAATGCTCTGCTTTTTGTTTTAGCTCTTATACTGTAAGTGTCCTTTGTGCTTTTTATTTAGTGCCATATTTTTCACATTTTTGTGCTTTTTGATGGTGATTTTGCTTTTTAAAAGGATCCCCAAGGTATAGTACTGAGTTCTCCCTCAAGAAAGCTGTGGTGTGCCTTACAGAGAAAATACTGTATTAGAGAAGTTTCTTTCAGGTATGAGTTAGAGTGCTTTTGGTGCGAGGTAAATGTTAAATGTCAACAATCCAGAAAAAGGAAGGGCATTCACCAATTTGTGTGTTAGGCCAGTCTGGAAAGTGCCAAAGTAACATTTATAGTGTGTGATGAAGTGATGGGAAAGCAGCTAAATTTGTGGATTCCTGGGATGATTGAGAGAGCGTAGTGGACAGCATTGTTGTGAAGCTGAAAGCCAAAGGAATTCATGGTCGGTTGGATAAGGTCAGGAAAATGTTAAACCCTTCTGGTCTAGGGCTGGCCACACTTTCATGGTTGGGACAGTGTGAAAAATGTTTGACTTGCAGGTGAAGTAGGTTATGCAGGTAAAAATAACTGGTAAGTGTTAATACAAGAGAAATTGTTACGCTGGAAGAGCAGATTTTGGAATGCCAAGAGTGGCATGTTTTACAAGGATGTTGATAAACCTTTGTAATACAAATGGCATTTTGGTTTGACAGGAATGTGATCAGAGGCCTGCAGGAAGCTAAGCCTATATTTCCTCTAGGAACAGTAGTTCAGTACTTGCTAGTTCAGTGTTCGAGGCAACTTTATAAACATTACTACTGCAAATGACAAGAACTCTGTAGAATGGGTTACAGAGAGGTGTGACTGTGTTCGAATAGCCCTAGTGAGACAAGGAGGGATGAAAACGAGGTAATGGATCTGAGAAGTAGTGAGGAAGAGTAACATCTGTTTGGTGATGCAAGGGACGTTATCAGAAAAATTGCAGTAAATTGTTCCATATGATATTACATTAAAGGCCTGGAAATTCAGGGCCAGAGAAGAAACTTCTTTTATTAGATAATGAGAGATCTCAATTGACCGTTTCTCCTTGTTCCATAGCCACAGAGCAGCATATTGATCTTCCATTAAAGTGCTCATCTCTACCTTTTGTGTGAAGGGATTTTTGTCCATCTCCCACATTAGAGTATGAATTTTTGGAGGACAAACGATTATATCAAACAATGAAAGAATGCTTTGCGTGTAATAAGGTTAGGGTGGAACTTATGTGAAAATCTGTAACTTATATTTACACTATCAGACTTGGAGAATTTTAGTCCTTGGGACTCCTGCATTGTAATGTGCTTGCTTTGTTGTTATAATGTTATAACAAAACTAGTTAGTGGCTTAATTTCTGTGGTCATGTGTATTTTCTCCCTAGATCTTTACTCTCTTAAATTTTGGGGCCCAGTCAGGGTTTTAGAAGTGATCATTATCCACTTCTAAACAGAATTGAATTCTCTCTCCAAAGGTCAAATAAGTTCTCCTTATATCAGGCTCCCCAAATCAACAAGGCTTAATGGCTTCTCCATCACATAGAAAAATACATGTTAACTCATATGTCTTCTGTGGATGATATAAATAATTTGGTGTCTGAGATACTCCCTGGAAGAGAGATACAATTTTAGGACAACATAGTAAGTCGTATGATAGAAGTAATTGCCCCTGGTGCTTTGGGAGCATAAAGTGGGGGCTCTCCTTGAAACCTAGGAGGAAGCTGAATA